GAAGTAGAAGACGAATACCATTTTATAACTACTTGCCCTATTTGCAACAATAAAAAAATATATATGAGGAAACTGGAAAGAAAATAAACTTTATAGAAGATAACAAATTTATAATGATAATGTTAAATAAAAACATTGCAATGAATATTTCAGTGGCCAAATTTATAAAAAAAAAATCGTGATTATGACAAGACCGCGGCACCCCATAGTATAATCATGGATGTATTGTAACGTATTTTCGTATGTAATGGTAATTTGTAAATGTAATTTTGTATGCATTATCTTTACTGTTAATCACGTTATTGTCTTGTAGTTTTAGTGACCTTTGTTGTACTTTCCAAAGTCAGTTGTGTCAATAAATAACACTAATTAAGTAGGATGAGAAAATGGACTGTTCATCAGAGTGACTCCTTTATGCATATTCCGCAGTTAAATTCGAATTCAATGTGAGGCGTGTTTCAGAATTATCAAGCTCGCGTAGTAGTAATTGTTTTATTGGGTTTGTGATTTGATATGTCTAGCGTGTATTGTTTTGAATCGGTTAATGGCAATCGCACGATTTATTTACATAATGATTTATTTACATTTTTTTTTTCTTGAGGGTATAAAAGAAAGCTTGGCGATCTTCAGTTTGTTGGGGCGTAGACATTAAGTATGTGGTATGGTAAGTGAACTAGACGCCTAATAACAACAATGAAAACCGAGTGCACATCTATTCATTTACCTGTTATAGTAGTTTATAAATAAATAAACGCTGCTCGGACTGATAAATATGATATATAGAAGATAATATTTGGTAATCGTAGTCCTAAATAACTATTAAAAATAGTTAGACGTTTCGAGCAATGGCTCTTTATCGATAGCATAAACAAACAATGTGCACGGCGTTGATGGAAATTCTTACCCGATGACATTAGTAAGATAGCAGCAAATAGAAAAATCGTAATAGTAGTTTATAAATAAATAAACGCTGCTAGGACTGATAAATATGATATATAGAAGATAATATTTGGTAATCGTAGTCCTAAATAACTATTAAAAATAGCTAGACGTTTCGATACATTCATTTACCTGTATGTATGAAGATTGTGAAACCACCAGACATGGTATTACAAACATTGTCCCACGTCGAACCGCCTGGCTTCATGATGGGTATAGAATGCGTCTCGGCACATTACGTAGTTGTTTATTAGGTTTCAACATTGACAGTGACATTGAAATTAAGTAAACAGCATTAAACACTTATTGACACTTGTGTAACAGACTTATATTTTGAACTGTTGAGGGTAGTGGTGATACAATCAGGATATTTATTCGTGGAGACATCAGATACAGTGATAATACAGTGAAGTGTAAACTTGGTTTCCAGGCGATGGCTTTACAGCCACGCTTGACGTTTGACACGGCGTGTATAAAAGTGTTAATATGGTTTAGGCTTTAAACAATACATTAGATATTACATATAGGTGTAGGAATGTGAACATTAAAGTAATAAGCATGGGAAAGTTAACACGTATTGACATAGACAATTGAATGCAATTGTCATGTCATACGTGTATGCGGGTACCACATCAGATTGGTGAC